CGAAGGGGCCGGTTTGAAGCGTTTCAAGAATAAAAGGGTTTTAAAAACAGACAGAAAAAAGGGGGAAAAAAAAAAAAAAAAAAAAAAAATCAAACACTTGATACTTGAGGAGGGCTGAGAAAAAAAACAAACTCTCTGTTGTATTTTCAAGTAAAAATGATAAAAATGAGATCAGGAGGCCAAGATGGCAGGAATCATCCATCTGACAGAGAGCAGGGCAGCTGAAACGCCACTCAGCCTGCACGTTCTGCAGCGGTAAACTGGATTTAAATGTAATTTAAAGAGGCAGTGTTGCGTGTTTTCCAGCCCCAGTTTCATTTTATAACGCAATCAATTAACTATGTTACCTTCAGTTCTTATAAAAATGCTGTACATATCAAATATGACTGAAAAGAAATTTTACATTGTATTCTAAATGCCTTGAAAATGGGCCTCTGTCTCTTTAAGAAACCTTTTTAACCCTTTAGCAACATTTTTACCAGGATTACACTGAGAAGCAGCTGGAATAATGAGCTCTGCTGATGCGCAGTTCCATCTGGTGTTTGCTAATTGCAGCTGGCTAGTCTGAAGGAGCCGAGTGAGGGACTAATTGATTTGTGAGGCGGAGGCTTGAAAACTGCAGCTGACTGGTTGCCACGGGAGATTACAGGATTTCTCAAACATTCATGAAAGAATCAAGGCAACTCTCCAGGTATGTTTTGGATGAGGGAATAACATTATAACATCATGTAAAGCAAAAATAAATACATTTTACATAACATTGTCCCTTTAAATAACATTCCTTGCCATTTGCTGGACATGATGTGTTATGTGTCATTTGTTTTTAAGCTGAAGCTTAAGTAATGTAAAGCAGAACTATAGAGAACATATTAAACGCCTCAATTCTTCTTTTTCCTGTCTGCCAGCAGGGGGCAGATTTTTCTCACTTTTCCCCACTTATTGTTCTTTGAAAAATAACCTTCACCTTTAAATAGCAGCTCTCTGCAGCGCGGGGCAAGCCTCAGCCCAGATAGATAAGACAGCATCTCATATACCCACCACAGTTGGAGATTACAGAGCTGCTGAGGCTCATCTCCCTGATAAATGAACCAGACACCCTCAGACAGACCGCCGTCCCAGGGGCACCATCAGACCAGCAACTATGGATGCTCTGTGTACGTTGAAGCTGCGTGGCAGGATGAGGCGATCATCCCTTTGTTGATGCTTTCAACTCACAGCTCAGGAAACCCAAGGTCAGCATCACACCCTGTTTTTTTTGTTCGTTTGTTTTAATCTAAATCCTCCTGTGTCACTTTGAACCCTTCTGGCTATAAAAGCTGCCGACAACTCTTCAAAAAAAACACACCATACTTACAAGAGCTGTGAGCTCTTCTACTGCATAGAATGAAAGACTGAATTATGGTGCTATGGCAACACAAAGCAGCAGGTGCTGCAGAGAAGACTGAGAGCAAGTTAACCTGACAGAGCAGAAAGACAAAAAAAAAAAAGGGCGAATGTCAGAATTTCAGACTACGGCGGAAATAGGAGCAGCTCCCGGTGTTGGCTCGTCCTCGAGGAGGGGATATGGAAGTATTAAATATGTAGGAGTGCTGGCGATATTTGCAGGCTGGACTGTGTGTGTTCTTACATGAGCAGGCTGCCAGGTGCAGACATGGATCTCTCCTCTCGCCTGCTCGGGCACTCAAAGGGGTTGCTGAACGAGCGCTTCCTCAGCATCGCTTTCACCAAGATCTGAGGCAAACACAGGACGGAGACCGCCATGAGCGAAGGCTCCGCTTTGATTCGAAGCTGACAGAACAATATGAATTATTTAGTTTTTGTGAGCTTGAGAGAGGTTGGGGGGGGGATTAAAAAAAAAAAATGACATGAAATTAGAGTCGTATTATGAAAAATGTTCAACATCTTGGAAACAAATTATAAATGTGTAGGCTGGGGATTGTGTATTAAAAAATATGTCAGAGTTTCACACATAAAAAGCTGTTGAGGGGGAGTATTATATGTTTTCCAGGCACATAGTGCCATCTTATACCACAATGAAGTAACTATCTTACCTCCAGTTGTTACAAAAACGATAAATAAATCAAATATGACTAATTTGACTTTGGAACTTAATGTCTTGAAATTGTGTTTCTGTCTCTTTAAAAACTCCTGCTCTTTCTGAAGTCATCACAATTAACCCTTTAGCAACATTTTTCTTTTTAACCAGCGTTTTACTGAGAAGTAACTCATGCAATGAGCTCAGCAAATGTACAGATTCACAGTGTGTTTGCTAATTGCTGCTGGCTAGTCTGAAGGAGTCAAGTAAGGGAGTCGCAGGTGAGGGTTCCTCTGTGCGGTGGAAGCTGGGAAATTGCAGTTCGGAGGAGGAGCTGCGCCTCGAAGGCGGAGCTAGGTCCACCCAGCCGTTTTGCACAGCTGACTGGTTGCCATGGGAGATTAAAGGATCTAACCAAAACTCAATTCATACCTTAGCCCTAACTCTGACCCCTGACCCAAAAACAGGGTTTCCCCTTGTGGAGACCAGCGCCTGGTCCCCACAAGGAGCAATTGGTCCCCACAAAGTAGTATATGTCAGGAAAATCGTCCCCACAAGGTATTACAAACAAACGCACACACACACACACAGGTGAATACGATACATGAACAGTAAACAGAAAGTTCAGATAAGATAATATGTTACACATGGCTGCAAATCACAGGATGTCTTTTGCATGTGAAAGTTACTGGAAGTCTTTTTTTTTTAATTCTCCATCTATTTCTTAAATGTTTCTCAAACAGGACCTCTATTCATTTAAATGAGCTACTATCTAGTTACAAATCTCCCCATGATTATATTTACAATCGTCTCCAGTGCAAATGGAGCCACATTGTGCGGTCAGGGGAGAACTCTCCTGTAATCCTGAAAAGTAAAATAGATGCTAATAATGATGAGAGAACATCAAATTTTTTGTATAAATTAGTTTTTTTTATTTGTAATGTCAAGAACATCGATTTTTTTTATTCGCAACACACAGATTGCGTGTAAAGTAAAGTCTGCTGACAGCCGTTATTTCTGACGGTGGTTGAGTCTTTGTGAGTAAGGTGATGGTAACAAAGTTTATACTCCTAAATAAAAAAAACCCCACCAAACATCTACATCGCTTAATAATTTAGAAGAACCACCCTGAACGCGATTCCTCCATCATGCAGTTTTAAACTGTACTTAAAGTTCTTAAAGGAGAGCAATGATCTAGTTTGGACCTGAAGCTTTTTGTGGGGGAATCCCTCTTTCTTTACCTCTTTGGCTGATAAGTGGACAACTGCAACCTGATGCAAAAACAGAAAGTTTCTCCCGCTTGCTGGACGTGATTCATGTGGTGCAACGTGAAGCTCAGAGAATCCATATAAATTTGGACTTGTTTACACACCAGGAGAGTGATTTAAAACATCTGCACAGGAAGTCATCTGGGCTCGTATCCTGTCTTATAAAAACACTCTGTCCTACTTCATAGCAAACTCTCCATGTGTCTTAATAACTTTCCGTACTGTTCTGTAATTCTGCGGCTCTTTTTAACTTTGCTCAGATTAGGAAAGGCTGAGGCGATGTGATGTTATGTTATGTTACTGCTCTTGGTCACATTTCTCCTGAAGACCATCGGTGTTTCTTACCACAGCGGAGAGGCTGGGGACAAACTTGACAGAGTTCTGGATGTCCTCCTCCGTCACTTCCACCATGGAGCAGTGCTCCTCCTCCAAAGGCAGAGGGTCAGTGCCTCCCTGGGTCACCCACTGGTCCATCTACACACACACACACACACACACACATCCCCAATAAAGACTACATATCCCACACTTGTCATTACACCTTATTTCTCAATGGGAGCTTTTACTCCAAGTGTTATGTGACGTGTTTGTTTCATAAAGCAAATCGGATTAAAACTGATTTTGATTTCTACCCAAAACATCTCAACCGTACTCTGAAACTAGATCTTTATATGCATTTTTTCATAAGTCTATGGATGTGCAAAGCTTGTAGAAATACCCCAAAACGCTCACTGCAGTTATGTGTCATCAGTCCAACAAAGTCGGGAGGGGCCAAATATAAAAACATTAGAATCATTTATCGTATTTTCTGCGCTTTTTTGCTAATGCACAAAACTGAAGTTGTGATCTTTGGATCCAAAGAGGAACGATCTAGAGTCAACGCAGAGTTTCACTTATTACAGCTGGAAACTAGAGATCAGGCCCGAAATCTGGGCGTGGTGATGGACTCTGACCTGAACTTTCAGAAACGCATAAAGACAGTTAAAAAGTCAGTCTTCTGAAGAACATATCTGGGATTAATGGGCTAATAAGACATACTTACATTTGGTTGCATTGATTACTGCAACACCGTCTTCACAAGTCTGAATAATATTTAAACTTAATTACTTTTTGATGGTCTGTCATATAAAATCCAATTACAATATATTTGTGGCTCTACTGTAATAAAATATTACACAGTTATAAATATCTAGGATTATAATAGTGTATATATATAGTACACCTCAGAGACGCAGTTTGAGGTCATCTGAGGTGTGAACCAAGTACAAGCTGCCTGTCCTTTAGCTCGTCTGTGGAGCACTCGGGAAAAACACGGGAAATGTCAAAGGAAAGTGTCGTGCCTCGGTGCTTCGCCGCCCTTCATCCTATGTTTCTCTGGTGTGTGTGTATGTGTGTGTGTGTGTGTGTGTGTGTAAGAGAGAGTGTGTGGATGTCTCTGCACAAGGACACACATGATGTCTAACAGGCTCATTATCTCCTTTTCCATAAACACAAACAGCGTCTCTGGTGAGAAAATGACTCAGCGTCGTCGAGTTGTGTCATGGAAACATGTTGGGGCGGTGGGGGGAGAGGTATCTGCACTCTGCTCCCTCCGTGACCTGCCCCTGGATTCAGTGACTCAGCTTTTAGCCCACAGGGACACATGGCTTTCATCTCGAAAAGCTTAACGAGTCCCACTGTTCACGTGCCGGCGAGGCGGTGGAATCGAAAGCCAACGTGCGAAGGTAAACAACCCCACGCTGAACCAGCAGACTCTTCACACGTCTGAACATCGACTACCACTCCGCGTGCCACAGTACCTTGATCTCAGGAATGGTCATCCTGGTGTCCGGGTTCTTGTCCAGCATCCGCAAGATTAACGTCCGCAGCTCTTCGCAGATGTTGGGTCTGCCATGAAGAACGAGACTCGGTCAGGTTTTCGGACGCTGCTTCGCTTATCCGCACACACAGACACTGAAGTCATCCGACGTCGTTTTTTTAAACAGCTCCAGGTGTTTTTCAGGATTTTTATGATTAAATTATTAACGCTGCATTAAGTAGGTATAATGAAAGCCCATGCTTAATTAAAACAGACTGGGAACTGAACTTTATCAACCAGCACTTAAAAACCAGCACTCTTTTTAATGTTATTTAAGCTGCAGAAATCAAATATGCTATTCTACATAAATTCAGCTGTAATAAGAGAATCAAGTATTTAAATTAATAATTAAGACGATTACATATTAGATTAAACATAATTGAAATTATCTGAAAGTAGACAAGAAATAATCATGGCTACTCTAAAACATTGACTTGGTAAACATCAATCCTTCAATTTAGGGTTTCTATAGATAATCAGGACAAGTAATAAAGGCATAGTTGAATTAATATGATATTTCTAAACAATTTTATTATGACAATGTTACAAAACAAATTACTTACAAATCCATTTCTCAACTGCTTTTCAAAACACTCTTGCTAACTTGCTAGTGTTGCGGTGGTTGTAGCGAGCAATCGCTGGTTAAACATCAATTTGTTTTAATGATTTATTAGTGGAAATGCTTCATGTGTCCATAGGTGTACTTTCCTTGCAGGCACATCACTTGTGGGGGGATTTCTAAATCGAAAAATGTAAAATTACCTATTGAATATCCTCAAAAATGTGCAAATTTTTCCTCAGCTAATACCACAATATTTAAAATACCTAAAACCAAGAAATAACAGGTATTGATGCAGTTCAGTATTGACCAATTTAGAGGCTGACTGACCCTGTCCAGGCAGTCTGGAAAGCAAAACTAAGAAAAACTGAAAATCTGAGGTGTTTAAAAGTGAAATCAGAGGTAGCAAAGAGACGTGAGAAGGTTTAAAGCGCGGGATGTTTTTCTTATGCCAGTGATGCTAACTTTACTAATTGATGAATTAAGATTCTAAAGATTAAACTACATGTTAACTCAAAACATTTATTCTTTGCCTGACACTAAATCCTCTCTTGCATGAATATAGTTAAGTTGCCTCTGCTCATAGTATGCACAGTGTACACATACTGTTCTTAAAGAGAAGATGACAGCAGCAGGTCAAAGCTTTACAAAAAACAGCTATCGGAAATCGGCCACGAAATCTGATTGGTGCGTCTCTAATTGTGATTCCTCTAATTTTATCATTTTACTTTTATTCACAATTTATATAAAAAAAAGGGCTCATCAATTAATTTTGTAACAATTTTAATTCTAAATTCAGTTTTCCCAAACAGAAATGACTAAAATTATACACCAACAGTTGCCAACGGTTTCAATCCGTAACGGCAGCCTGCGTTTCCCAACAGCAGCACAAAAACGATATTCATCAGAAAACCCGGTCTCCATCAGTGGCGTGACATTATTTGTACAAACGGCCCCATCGCCGCTCAGAACAAGGCGCCGTTAATTGTTATTGGTTTTTATAGCATACAAACGATGCGATTACAGTCTGCGTGGGACGACAGGCGAACCTCATGTAAGAGCTTCCTGTGCAACCATGACGGTTCCTTACTAACAAAATAACACCTTGTTCTGACACAGCCGCCCGCCTGCCATGTTTATATTTCATCAGTCTGTTCGCTCTGCGTACGCTCGACACGTGACTTCACGTGTTCTCTGACTTAATCACCCAGGAAGACCTCTGTGCTTTACTTGACCTTTTACTAGAAAGAAAGGCCAGGGAGGCACCGCAGCTTTATGTTCCCGTGCTACTGCTGAAGTCTACACATGTTTTGACTGGTGACTCCCTTTCATATTCCAGTGGTTTTGATTTGTGTGTGTGTGTGTGGGGGGGGGAGATGTTTTATATAGCTAGAAATCCCCAATAAGAGGTAAAATAACAGCACAGAAAAGGTGTAATCAACTCTGCTATTTTCTCTAAAATGGTATGAAAAACGGGTGGAACAATAAAAAAAACAACAAAAAAAAAACTCACGTTTCAGGAAAATCCACAGGCCTGGTCTTTATCTTATTGTGCAAAGCCAATATGTACTCGTCAATAAACGGGCACTGCAGGTAGAGGAGAACAAAAACAACAACAATAAGAAAAGAAAAAAAAAACAGGAGTGAAATCCACGGTGCAGGTTGCCTGAATCACAGATACAATCTGCTTCTCCGAAGACGGATCAGACAAATTACAGCTGCGGCAATCAGCCTCTGGTGTTCATTTAAATGAACGAGAGCCGCATCAGACGCCGAGAAGGCGGCAGACGCTTTGTTCCCACAGAAGGTGTTGCTACAGAGGGAGACGGCTTTCCGCTGTTACAACGCTGTTAAGAATAAGCGAGAGACAGAAAGCGTGCGCACACTTGCCTTCCCAAACACGAAGCAGTACAGGGTGATTCCCATGGCCCACACGTCCAGCGCCTTTAAAACAGACAAACGAGACAGGAGATTAATGCACATGTGAGCCACGCCGACCGGAGATTTATGGAACGTCAGGTCGTTTTATTTTAGGGCGTCTTTTTCAGAAGATGGATTTGTGCTATAATTTAGCAGAGGGACTAGCAGAGCCACCTCACTCTGCGTCCCTCTGCCTCGGTTTTACTCTACAGGTAATCCTTACCGGGTAGAGCTGTATAAAACAAAAAGAGTTACAATTTTCTTTGTTTTTTGAGACATAATACGTTTAAGATCACCTGGCTAATTTTGATCTCAGACAGAAACTAACTGGAGTTAATTATTAAGAAAAGAAAAGCTTGGAAACCAACTTGACCTTGCAGAATCGTTTTAAATCGGCCATTTTGTTTCAAGTCCCTCTATTTGATTTAGGTACAGATACTAACCAGAGTTGAAATTAATGAGCTCAAGCAGAGATTTGGGTTGGGACAGAATTATTCGCACAGCACTCAAGTTAAAGTCAAATGAGAATGAACGATATGAAGTTGTGTTGGTCGACTTATCATAGCGTAACTGGAGGAGCAGGTTGTTCACTCTGTTGAGGAAATAAAGAGAGGAAGTAGGGGTGCAGAAGTTAATCAGACTGTAACAAGCGCCGCTCCGCCCTGCTCCGCTCCCATCAGTCACACATCCCAGAAGATTTGCCTCCAACTCACCCTGGGATGAAACGAGCAACAAGATGGAGCTGGAAGACGCTGAACAGAAGCTAAAAGTGGGAGAAGTTCTCGATAACCCGTCGGGCTCGGACGTGTTCGGATGTTTTAGATGTGATCTGACCTCCAGCATGGACGGGGACGCACTGGTTCTCCAGCTCAGAGGTGGATTTACATGAACATTTAAAGTAAGCGCGCTTTTGGGTTTTTGGTCAGAAAGTGATGTTCTGCTTTAGCATTTCTTATTCCATCAATTACAAGCAAGTCGCCTATTTCTTCACACTCCTTTTCTGAATTAAGTTTCCAGTCAGTCTACCAAATATTTTAACAGAAGGGATCAAAGTCAAGCAAAATGCGTGCATTATTTTCCTGGCCTTGAAACGTGTTTAAGTAAATAAATATAAAAAGACATTTCTGGCTGTTGAGTTATTCTGAAAAGGCTTCAGAATATTTTCCGGACTGAAACACGGCTGTTTCTTTGTTTATCTTTTCTTTAACTACGTGACGTGTTGCCTGTTGGGGCTTTTCAGACCATTTCATGTTGTCACAGGATCCGTTTCGGTGTTTTTGTTGATTCTGCAGCTTCGGCGCCAATCAGGCCTGCGCACGTCTAATAAAACTAAAATAAAAATGTGGCTAACATTTTTATTTCGCTCGACTTTCTTTTGCACATGGAGTCAGGTTAATTTGCGTAACGTATTTTTCATTTAATTGATAAAATCAATATTTGAAAACTGATTTTTGCATTTATTCCGGTTATGGTCGCCTGATATTAAAATTTGTGGATGATTTGAATCATGCAAGTTTGGCAAAAAAGCAAAGGAGGTGACTGAGAAAATAGTTTGTTTTGTTTTTTTCGCAAGACATGATTAAAGCACCCTCTCATTATCTACTGCAATTTGTCATAGTGTTAGATTCATCATGTACTTCTGGGAATGAAGCATAAAGGGCTTTAGTGACATACAAGTGTTGGATATTATAAAACTCACTTCTAATTTTTACATCCCTTGGAAGAAAGGCTTTTCTTTGTCAAAACCTGAGAGAGTGCAATAACAATCAGGGAGGAAGAGGCATTCGGTCCCTGAAAGCTTGACAAAACAGCCGGCTGAAGCACTTAAAGTGGCTCTTTTACCCTGGTGGCTTTTTGTCTGCAATCAAATGTTCTATTCTGGCTCCTCTTTAATGGACATGCACAGCCCTTCTCCAAGGTTTCATGGAAACCCACAGGAGGACGGAGCGAAGAGGGAGGCGGCTGTGCAGGAGCAGGAAGTCAAAGCTGACGGCCTGGATCCAGCAGGATGAGCCGCTTTGAGTCTGGAGGCGATCGTGTTCACAGGAAAACGTTAAAGTCTACCGAAAAAATTCAAATCTGGATCGGAAACTGACAATACTGAAAATTTGAAAAAAATAAATAAATCAAAAAGCGGTTGAAAACGTAAATAGAAAAGAGTGAGATGTTTGAAATGCACGTTTTACTTCGTATTGCATGAGAACATGTGCACAACTAATCAACTGAGACTTTCTAATAGCACTTGGTATGAAATAGCAGGAAATGTGAGGGAGTTCAAGGAGTTAAAGACGTCTGCAAATCGCTGCGTTTTGATACTGGAATATACACAATGAATGTAGGATAATTCATGTTTAACTTCATCGGATTACACCAACCGACTTCCTCTGCAGCTCTTTGAGTCGTGCTGCAAAACCCACAAGAAGGGACGAAGTGACTTCAGCTCCCGTCACTTGGTTTCTTGTCCTTTCAGAATTGGTTTAGGGCCACATTTATACATTTAAAGCTCTTAACACCCTAAAAATAAAATTTACATTGCAAATAGATCAGAGACTGTTCAAAAAACACTGTAATCTACTTCTAATGAGAAACACGATAACCCCCAAAAATAGAGCCAACAAGATTCAGTATTTGTCGACGAAAGCTAAAGCCTTCTGCACTCCGTTCTTACAAGTGTTTTAAAAAAGCTTTGAAAAATTTAGGACTAATTTCTAGACATATTTAATTAAGTATTTACAGTCTTCATTCATTTCTCTCACATTCCCTTCAGAAGCAGTGGGTGATTATTTAAATTTGCCATGGAAGTCGAGACTTATTAACCCAAACATGACGCCCAGAAAAAAAGTAAAAATAAATAAAATACATTTCGACCCAAGCGCACATGGACTACACTTCAAATCCACTGACTGGACTCACTTTCCCACTGAAGCTCTTGCACTTCTCTGACAGAGTCTCCGGCGCCATGAAAGCAGGAGTCCCTGCAGTGCTGGACAGCAGAGCGTCGCTGCCCTCGAACTGGTTGCTCACTCCGAAGTCGGCGATCTTCACATGGCCGTCGTCTCCCAGTAACAAGTTAGACGGCTTGATGTCCCGGTGGATGATCTTCTGGTAGTGCACTGAGGGGGAAAAAGGAGGGGAGAAGTTAAAGAAGCCGTCCCGACAAAATCAAGCAAAATATATCTGGTGCGTAAATGTAGTTCCCTTAGAAAATACATTTAATTTCTTGAATTCCTGCCATTTTTTTTAATAGCTTGTCAGATTGTGCATGAAAAAGGTAAAGTTTCTAATAAAATTCTAAATATTTTCCAATATTAATTTGCAGTTGGCAAACACCAATTGGTGGGCATTAAATTGTCTATATTAATAACCCGAATCAGCAGATCAGAAACAAAAACAAAGACGTTTCCCCTTAAAAACACGCCAAGCGACGACGCCACGAAACGGCTCAAACGACTACAGTGACTCTGAAATAAAATCCTCTGTGATCCGACTTTGTTACCACCATTTTTATTGACTTCGATCAGCCGATTTGAGTTGCACTACCCGTTCACTACGCAGGCTTACCGCTCTCGTTTGTCCGCAGTGCGCCGATCTAAATTTAGCAGCTTGGCGTCATTGGCGATCGCTGCCGCACCACGACCTCCATCGTTTTAAAACTAACCGAGGTGTTTAACGCCAAGCGGACCCGAGCAGTCGACCGCCTCAACAGCTTTGTCTCCATCAGGTCCTTCTGTTGCTGCGTATAATTATATGTGCTTGAATGTCAGTTTTTTTTCTGATGAAATCAAAAACGCAGAATTGCTATTCTTTAACCACAACCCACTTGGGAAAAGAAACAAAAAACAAAAGAAGAATCTGAAGAGGGATAATTAACAAAAGAGAAGTAGTGATTATGTCCCAGAGGAAAGCGTCACCAGCTTTGATTGCCGCTTCATAAGAATGATGGGAGGACTGTGAACCAGAGGTCATCTTTGAGTGAGAGTTAAGTATGTCCTCAAACGTCTTCTGGAATATAGGCCCCTGATGGGATAAGTGGTCTCTATTTGCTGTGAGGAGGTCTTCCTGAAACGAGGGGCGCTTGGCTTCTCCACTATGAAATGTCGTAGCGCTCACAACGGTCAAATTAAAACGACGCCAGCGCCATCGGGAGCCCCGGCTCCGACTCACGGCTAAGATTCATGGAGGCTGCAGGAGACGTTTCAATGCACTTAAGGCACTAAAACTGCGATCCAGAAAATTAAAGGCTGGAAGTTTACTGTGCGCGCCAGAGTTCAGCGTTTATATTTCAACAAAGCAGATGGACACGTTTCCCAGCGGATTCTCTTTGGCTTATCTGCCAAACACGGGCGCCGCACCTCTTTCAGTGCTTTGCAAAAGTATTTATACCTTGCTTTATCTTTAGCAGACCTCAGTGCATTTTATTGGGACTTTCACTTCAATGGACTTTAAGTCGCTTTTAGAAGCATCTCTGCTCCAATCCAAGTGGTTCGAGTCTGATTGGTACGTTGTTCAAACGCGGTTCGATCGGAAGGAGATCATCCGTAAACCGCAATCTTTAAAATCTTCCTCAACTGGATTTAGGCCGAGACTTTGACTGGGTCACTCGTAACTCGAAGTGTGCCAACATCTTCACCAGCGGTTTTAAACTGCATTCCTTGAGGACACCAGTCCTCGAGGAAACTTTTCGACGTCTCTCTGCTTCAGCGCACACGGCTCCAATGTTAGCGCATTAGCAGAGCTTCAGCTTGACTGACTGCTGCCGAGGGTGTTTAGCCTCAAGGGAAATATCTAAACCAGTGGTCCCCAAAGTCGGTCCTCGAGGGCTGGCATCCTGCATGTTTTAGGTCTCTCCCTGGTTTAGGGCACCTGGATCAAATGATGGCTCATTAGAGGCCTAAGAGGAACATTGACTTGCTGAAAAGGTTGTTACTATCACCAGGGAGAAAACTAAAACGTGCAGGATGCCGGCCCTCGAGGACCGACTTTGGGGATCACTGATCTAAACGGTCCAGGATGACCTCCATGTCCCTGCTAATAAAGAGATGCTGCACAAAGTCTTTGTGAGAGATTTGCACATCTGCCGAAACAGGAACTCCTTCCTGCACGTAGCGATAACCGATCTACAATGACTCTTAAATAATGAGCGTAACGACAGCTTTCCCTCTGAAATGTTTCCTTCTTTAAGATTGAATTGAAAGCAGCCGCCGCCTTGTTTCACTGTGAACACGGTGCGGTTAGGGTGAAAGTAAAACACAGGTATTGTCTGACATCAGTCATTTATCCCCAACGACTCATGGGTGAGGCACGTTCTGGATAATACTCCACACAAACCAACGAGACGCGAGAAAAAAGAAAAAAAAAAAAGACAGTAACATCCTTTTGGATGAACTAGCTCAATAACAGCAAACAAGTGAAATTGATCCACTGCAGCGAAAAGGGCAGCTTGAGGAAAACTGTTGGACCAAGCTGTGGCTCAGCGGTGATCGGACGGACGGACATAAATGCCCCCAGACGGCGAGGCGAGGGAACAGAGGCAGAGGCTCAACAACATTTTGTTGTCATTGTAACGTGCACGATAACAAGAAGCATTAAAACCGATGGTTTACGCCCAGGAAATGCTCTGATTCCCGTAAAATATACGCATTACAAATAGTAGCGACTTCAGTCACGATTTGCAGACTTACGGTACTCGATGCCCAGGACGATGTCTCTGAAGTACTGCCGCGCTTGCTCCTCTGAGAAAGGAGTCTCTGTTGGCACCTCCATCACTGGACTGCAGATTCACACAGAAACACGGATTCAGACGCTGCTTTTAAAACTGGACTCAGACTGAGGAGCAGAAACAACGGGGTTAACGTCTGAAGCGAAGATGAGGCGACAACACTGAATGCGATAAGTACCCATCCCTCCACGCTTCCCTTAGACACACGACTTTATGATCACATGGCGACGCGTGTGAATGGTAAACTGTGCTGCTTTCCGACTGGAGCCGAATCAGATCAGAAAACTGCATTTGAAATGGTTTGCATGGTGAACTGGTGGTGGATGGATAAACTGAACCGAGTTTATGTAAAAAAGCACTAAATACAAACGTGAATATTTGGGTCATTTTATTTGTTCTCCAAGCATTAAAACAAACAAACAAACTAAATCACATTTAGGGAAATAAAAGAGAACCGCTCATGTTTATTATCGTTATCAGTGAAATGATTCAGAAACATCAGTGTCAGATCCGCGACCCGAAGCGCCTTTTCTAGCCGGCTGGCTTTTGGCAATGACTGTTAAAAACCCCCCAGACTGTAACGTCTTCCTGAGGTCTGAAATGGAGGAAAAACTCCGGCTCGGTGTTCAGCTTGGAGCAATGAGCGCTGCAGAGGCTGAGGATGGGATGGAGAGATGGAGGATGGAGGAATGAGGAAGAGAGAGAGGAGGAGGAGGACAGAAATCAGAGGACGTGTTCTCTACTCACCCCTTACGCATCAGCTCAAACACTATCGGGAACAAAACAAGGGGACAACAAAGAGGACACACGTGAGGTGGAATATTTTTTACTCATTAGCTCATTGTGATCACTTCTGCCCAGCGAGGAAACATCCAAGCTTCCTAGCAGCTGTCGTCTACCTAGCCTAGATTTAGCTCATGAGTAGTTTGAGGAGAACTGCGATCTGGGGATGCTGAGCGAGGATGTGAGCCCTGAGGTGGTGCTAAAGACTCACTGGGTTCTGAAGACATTACACAGTCACCTGTCCAAATGGCAAATGTTGCCGAGCAGAAAGCAGATAAATTAAAGGAAAGTCAGACATGCTTACCCATGTAGAGGTTGTCCTCTGACGGATCATCCAACACCTGGAATATTGAGTAGGTGAATCAGAGAATCCTCAGTTATTCAGGTTTGGAAAAGGTCCATATTTAATGCATTATTATTTAAAATGTGCAGCAATTTAGCTTCATCGAACTGTACATTTGAGATCTTTTTAAATATATTGATGTATTAGGCAGGGACAATGGACATTAATTAACATTTCTGTAAATTCAGGCTATTTTTCTTCCATCCACAAAAAAAGAGTAATTTGTCTTGCTGAAAACAAACACAAAACAAGGCTAAAATGACTCAATTACACACATTTTGTGAATAAAAAAAAAAAAAAAATCAGAACAAACGGCACATACAAACTTTAATTTTTTTGTTCATTAAAAAGGAGTCATCTCTTGACCAGAGAAAGATCAGACATCTCCAAAACAAATTGTCCCAATTTGGAGTTTCACTTCGCCGTTACGCTGATGACTTTTGAGTCTACATTCCTGTGGAAAAATACGGTGCTCACTGTGACGTCTAAGTAAAATCAAGGCATGGATGGGTTGAACAAATAAAACCGTGCAAGTATAGAACAAATGAACGAATGCCTCTCATCTTCACATGCATGTCGAGTTGCGTTCTAAAGTAAATGGGCGGTTGCTGTGACCACAAACAGGATAACGTGGGCAGACGTTTTAATCCCGTCCATTAGGCTGCGAGCCTCAGACTGAGCTGAGCTCTGGTAATGACAGTTTTTCCACTGAGCAGACAGATTTTCTTGGATGCAGATTACAAACAGTTGGCAGCGGAGGTCAGACGGTCTGGACAGATTTCACAACGGTAGCAAATACGAGATTTTAATGACGGAAACTGTGTTTGGTCGGAAATAGTTAGAGACGCAAAGCAACGGTGTGATTCTGCTGTAGTTTTAGGTGGAGCTGCTGTTCATCTATGCCACTGCTGAATGAAGCCGTTTTATAGAGAATGTTGTAAAAAATTAGGTTCAACCTTTTAGGTTTCCCATTTTTTTTTTTTTTTTTGCCACAAGAAAAATAATTTCTTGGGATTTTATGTGATAAAAACGCAAAGTAGCAAAATAGTTCTGCCTTTTTGAGGAAAGGTTAGATCACTTTAAAATTATTTCTACAGACAAATGAGAAGCATTTTTATTTAGTCCTTCTGGGGGGGCGATACTTTCTAGAAGCACCATTTAATGCAGTTACATCTGTAAAAGGTTTCATCTTTGCACAGCTGGAGTTTGGACCTTTTCACCACATCTCTAAACTTCATTCTCAGTCGCGAACACGCCTTTCCGTATTTGCTATGTGTCGTATGTGGCAAATTACAAGCGAGACATTTATTGGCTTTCTTTCAACATTCAGACACTTTTCTAAAATAGCCAGTTTTGTGGACTTTCCTGTTGACAGTTTGTCGTTGAGGAGTTTCTCCTGCAGGGTTTTAACCAGGTTGATGCCCTGATGGAACCTTTTCTGCTAGCATCAGCGCTAGATTTCGTTTCGGGGCACCGTATAAAAGGGGCTAAATACTTTATTTTTTAAAAAGGGATAAGTTGGGAGTGGACATTTATCTTATGGTTTCTCATTTCTTGCGATAAATTTCTAATTATATTTATTGTGGCAACAATAAATTCAGATGAATGATTTTTTTTTTTTTACTCAAAACTATTCATATTTCGGAGATTTTTAATTTCACAATTGTTTCCATTGTCAAAAAAAAAGAAAAAAAAAGAAATACAAATATGATTATATGCAATTATGGGTGCAGCTTAGTGAAACAAATCACACTTCTTTATGTGGAGATGTTTTCCAACAGTAGTATTTGTCTTTATGGTGCCACGTCAGCTATAGAGTTAACTGAAAAAACAATAATAAATGGGTCTTACAACATTTATTATCACAAAAATATTGTGATAAAACTTTAAGTCAGTATCACCCATCAGCTTGGACAAAAGCTAATACCAGGAGTGAATGTTCACAGAAGTGTGAACATTTACATACGTTGTCCCTTAAAATCCCAACAACATATGCGGAAGTTTGTGGCTGCAATGTCATAAAGTGTGTCAAAAGGTCAAAGGCGTAAAATACTTTTGCACGGCACAAAGCAGAACTCGCAACATAACACTAAACGGACGACATGTTATCTCCCGACGTGAGAAGAAGCAGAACCCGCATCGAGGAGCGTGCCTGTTTCCATCGCAGCCACAAACCATCGTCACATCGGAGAAGCAACGACTTTAACGACGGCTCGCTTCCGCTTACAGACGCTACGCCAAATAACCGTGGCAGTAAAATGTAATACAACAGGGACTTCTGAGTCGTTATTAATACGCATGCAGCTCCAGCACTGACGTGTCGAAATGTGGAAACAGATCACACTCTCGGCTGGAGCTGCGTCTAACCGGCTGCAGGCCAGACGAGAGGCAGACCTGCTCTTTGCTGCTGCCTCCTGGTTTTCTGTGTGAGATTAAAGGAGCGTGGAGATGCTAGGGAGCGTCTCCAGCTGCAATCAAGCCCTTACTAACAGTCTACCCCTGTCACCAGCCATCTACCAGGATATTAACCCACTTTGTGCTCTGAGTCACTCTCCTGTGATACCAGCGGTTCTGCTTCCTGCTGGTCTCCACCTCCCCTGCTCCCCGTTTCTCCTCGGGGGCTCCGTTCAGCTCCGTGTTCCTTCATTTCCTCCCTGCCTGGCCCTCATCAGCGTCTCTCCCTGCTCCTCAGCGTCGGCCTCAGTCTCACCCCAGTTAACCAGCTGTAAATAAAGTACCGGGAAACTGCGGATCTTTTCCGGCGCACCGGTCCGTGGGCCGCCTTTGTGACAGATGGCAAATACAGAGGAGCAGAAATCTGGTAGGAACTCAGCTGCATCAAGTGTTCAGCTTCAAGTAGGTGGCTCTATAAATGTCAGACAGAAACATCTCACATACTGTGATATATTAAAACAAACCACCAACGTGTCTTTATGTCTTTGTCTGAGATTCTTACAGTCTCAGGCAGACAAAACCCCAAGCTGTTTCTGTATATATTGAGAATTTATAACTTGCTAAATACTAGATAGTTAGATGTTAAAAGCTGAAATGAATGGCTGGTTAAAACTGAAATCATATATATATATATATATATATATATATATATATATATGTATACATTTTTTTTTTTTAAACGCATGACCAAATGTAATTCACTTACTTTAATTTCAATATTTTCTGCTTGCCATTCTCACTTGTGCTGCATTTCGACTGAATCCCTAACTTGCAGTCATGTCTAAAACACCAATCAAAGAGTCAAATAAAGAGCCAAAACTCAATCAATCCCAAAAACCCAAATCTGTCTAAACAGGAACATGCGGCTGTGCTAAAACCCAGTCGACCTTCATCAAGTGTGCGACGCAGGAGAAAATATGCATATGGGGAAAAACATGTTCATGTATTTAGACAAAAGTCGCATCCAAATGCTGAGGACATTTGCGAAGTCAGAAGATTTGTGCAAAGTAACAGACGAGATATTAGATATTAGATATTATGACACTAAAGTTGCTTCGGGGCTTTTTATCTGTGCCATTTTGCAGTTAAAATAATCAATGTGGACTATATTTGATCACTTCTAGTCCAAAATCTAAAATACTTAGAGTAAGTTTGTCACAGAAAGCAATGTTGGAAAGATATTTCAATATAATTCATGAACCCATTCCCTTGCATATCATCTCTATGGAATGAAATAACGATTCATATTCTTTTTTTTTTTTTTTTTTTTTTTTACAAGTTAAGAACTATCCATCTATTCATCTACCTACCGAGCTGAATCAAGACAGGAACAGGATCAATTATTATTATTTCCTGATTATTTTCTGAATCGCCTCAGACAGAAGTCCTTGTGTGCACAAAGCTTTCAGCTCAGCCAAGCGGCCTCGAGGCTGATGATCCAGCCTCCAACCACAAACTGCACGTGAAAAACAGACTCACAACGGACGGCGCAGCCAACGATTTGCTGCTTCAAGGTAACGGCTCACAGGTTTCACGAAGCACAGAGAACTATTCACCCGAGTTAAACAGCTGCTTTTGACTGGAACAGAAGGTCAGCGCCGGTCGAGGACACGCCAACACCGGAACAACTAGTTCCCAAAATTTGCAGCTGAAGCCACAAGGAAGCTACGAGGTTCGCTCGCGTCTGTTTAAATAACGTTGATTGACACGGCCTCGTGCAGGCTCTCTCAATAAGCAAGGGGTTTATTTGCACAACACGTTAAGCTTTTCCAATGCAGCAAGTGAAATCCGTCATTGGCTTGCTGCAAAACTGTTGGTTACTGCAGTGACTAAGATGGGGGAAAAAAAGAGAGTATTTAGACTTTCAGGGTAATAACAAAGAGGGCTTTGGTTTTTTTTTTTTTTTTTTTTTTTAATGGAGCTCTGATAAGAGCTAAACATGCTGGTGAGAACAGCACAGGCTCGTCTGTCTCTTCCCACCATCTGTGACAAATGACCAAATCACTTTCATCAGCTTTAATCTGTTCCACTTGGCGTGGGCTCAGTGTTTAAGGGACGGATGGAAAGTATATTCATAATTAGACGAGACTGGACCGAGGTCTCCTGGGGGAAATCGGCTGGGTACCTCTAATGTATGCAATGGGGGCCCGAGCCAGAGCTCGTTTAAAAAAAGACGAACAGAGAGAGATGGAGAGGAGGCGCTGACTAATTTCCTGCGCCCATCAGGAGTGTGAGAGAGCAAGGGTGGACAAAGGATGGAGGAGATGAGAGCGAGGGTGTTGTGTCAGAGCTAGCACACGGGCGCAGAAGCACTCAACTTTTCTTTTTTTTTTTTTGTTTGTTCCTGAAAACTCAGCAGTCCTGGCACTTAATTCAGCCGAGCGAGCCAGACCGCTTCCCCCCAGCCCGACTGCCCAAGCTTAACTACCAGCAGTGCACCGGTTGCCCCCGCCATCTGGGCTGGATTGAAAACACCGATGATATCACCGGAGAACGGCGCGCGTCTTGAGTCACAGTCGTCGATACCAGCGATCGTCTTTCCAAAACAAAACGCCCCTGCGGAACCTGGAAGTCTGTCAATGCTCGAAATCAGATGGAGTTTATTTGCGGGACGGAAGCGTTTCTTGTCCAAGAATAAATCAACAAAGGATTAAGAAATGTGACTGAAAAACAACCCCGAAGCATATTCCGAGCTTGTTTTACAGCACCACGGGATTTAGCTGCCTTTTCAGCTAAAATGAAAAAGCGTGAGTCAGAGCATGCTCAGGGCAAAGGTTATCTGAAGACAGCACAGTGAAGGATAATCCTGACCACAGAGGATGCTAAACGTGCTGCCCATGTCAACCTGCTGTCATTAGAGAGAAAACAGCCACACAGAACCGCTTCTTAGTGCTTAATTTTTCCACTTTAAAATTCAACTAAATGAAAAACATTGCAGGATGTGATTTATTTAAACTAAACCAGGGTCCCACAGAGTTTTTGGACATGGCAAGCAATTCAAATGCATTAAAGTTGCAGTTGAGGAATGTTGTGTTTACCAAACATATTACGTGCCACTACTACAGATATTACTCAATCTCATGCTGCAGCATGCAAATGTTCTGTCAGCAATGGTGAAGGTTTACTGACTTTCTCATACTGAATGCTTTATGTGGCTCCAGCTGCAAGGCAGAATGACCTACTTTTTTATCAGCTATATTTTCACCACTTTGAAGCACTGACCTTCATTCCCGTAGGGTCAGGCGATCGTTAAAAAAAAGACGATGGCTAAACGTACAATATTTTGCACAGCAGTACTCTAGACGGCACATTTTACACCCTTGATCTCAACACACCAGCAATACACAAAGTAGATGGGACCGATGTTACGAAATTATTTATGAAGTAAAGAAATAAAGCGCTAATGTAGAAACCAGTTTTAAATCAACAAATATAAGCGGCAAGATAATAAAACAGTAGAGGAGCAGCTTAGGTTCTTCTGTTAGTGAAGCTAGCTGGCTCTTTGTGCTAGCATGCGCTAATATATTGACGTTTCAATATGCTTTTGTCTCTCAAGGTTTGTTCTGTTGTTCTTGATTAGTTATTGCAAGTAAGGTAGAGATTATTCTTCTCGTAGTAGCTATTTTTTGAGGGCTAACCCAAAAAAGTGAAAGTGAATAATTTACATTATATTTTAGTGCTAAATACTCTTGTTCTTGAATTAGGCTTAAAACTCAGCACACCTGTACACAGAACAAGGATGTCGGTTTTATTCCTCTATTCAACAAGTGGAGCAAAGGCTTCAACAGGTCCGTTTCAAACCGCTTAGCTTGATGCTGCTAGCTTAGCCAAAAGACGAATCCAAGCCGTTGACAATGTCTTTCAGTACAAAAAAAATCCTTATGACACAAAGACAACTGAAGCAACCAATTATAAAAACAGAAGATTCGTACCTCCACCAGCCTGACAATGTTGACATGGTCCAGTTTTTTAAGAATGGCAATCTCTTGGTATACCCTTTCCAAGGGTCCTAAGACGTTAGGCTGCTCTCCTTGGGCTGCCTTGGGTCCTCTTGGGGGAGGGCGACCTGCAGAGCACCACACACTCCAGATTACACACAGCCTAACGTTATTGTCAAACATTTAGACAGTTTATAAATACTTAAAGCTACAGTATATAACTTTCATTAAAAAAAACAACAACAACAACAAAAAAAAAACAGGTCAATCTACTCCACCAATCAGAGCCAGGAGAGTCTTAGCGCTGTCAATCAACCTCTTGTACTCGCTGCTAATGTGCTAATGCTGGAAAAACAACTTACTATTACAGAAACGTCGTTCATCCACTGTCATTGGTGGTCTTAATAACTAACTTAGGCTAGTTAGCAACCAAGCTTCGCGCCAATTAGCAATGGGAGCACTGGGAGAAGGTAGACGAGCTCAACTTTTTCACATCATCTGTCTCACACCATACAGTCACAACATAGTGACAGTTTAAACAGATATCTAAAAAGATTTTTTTTTTAAATAAAAGTTACATACTGCAGCTGTAAATGGAACTAACTCACGTGGAAAACCACACTGCTTCATTAACCTCTTCTTGGACAACACCTTCATGGCCTAGGACAGAAAGGAGTCTGATCAGACAGCATGACCACACATCCAGGAATACATGTCTACAAAAACAGAAAAGACAGATGTATGAAAAGCAGCAGAGGTGGGGACATTTTTAATTAGATGTAACTGCATAACATAATCTTTAACTCCTAAGGGTGTTCTACTGTGGATTTCAGCCGAGTTGCAGCACAAACCGACATCAAAGTGCAGAACATAAAAATTTTAGGGGATATATCTACTGCTCTCCTTTGCAACAGGCCGGAGAAGTCGACAGCCCCTGAATCTTTAATACAAAAACAGCTTTTACTGGCTTCCAAAAAGAGCCATGTGTCAGAGTTTTTCCTAAAAAAATAAAAATAAATAAATAAATAAAAAATAATAAAAAAAAAAAAAAAAATATATATATATATATATATATATATATATATATATATAAACAGCTGAAAAAAAAAATGCACTTATTACAAATCTTTAAGAAAATGTAAAGAAAGAAGAACAACACTGGCACATTCGTCAGCACATGCTGCCGCACTCACTTGGTGATTTTACAGTCAACTCAACGGAAAGGTGGAACGTTTTCTCTTTCGATCCCACAAAGCGTGCTGCTGAAGTGTCGCTCAGCGGCCTCTGTGGTCGTCATGGCTATGACTGTGCAGAAAGCGGCTTGGGCAGGAAGGCGGACCCCTCGCCTCTACTTGGTTTCCATGGCGCGTTCCTCCTGAACACCCTCTTAAAAATAAAACGCCGTCCGTCTCAATTCCTGAATCAATCCGTCTGCGCTGGGAGGAGAGGCTCATCATCGCCAGTATGAGACAGAATGTACTCAGTTTTCCAATGAAACATGATTAAATGTAATCTTTCTGTAGCTTAATATCAACCACAGGCTAAGGGGGCAACGCGAGTGGATTTTGGCTTCGATCAAAGCCTGGAAGCAAGCCGAATATGCATGAAGGGTCCAGCGTGATTATCCCGTTACTGCCTCGTTAAGCAGAAGATGTCCCCATCAATCACACGTGTAGACTAGACTAGGCTAGACTAGGCAAATGAGATGTAGAGAAACGAAAGAAGCGATGTTTACTGAGCTAAACAGGACTCCTGCAGGGGGTTTAAAAGATGTGTGTATTAATAAAGGCAGAAACTACAGAAGACCTTTGCTACCAAGACACAGCTTATTTAACTCAGTCAAAATGAAAGTATTCAGTCACTTAGACAGTGTAACTTCTTTGGAAAAGTTAATTTATAACATGACTTGGATGTTTATGACACCAGGGGTGTATTGTAGATGGCTCCAGTGAATAGAAGCAGCTGAAAAACTCACTTTTCAACCAACTTCAGCTTTTACTGGTTGGAAATCTGTTTGGGGTTTTTTTCCCCATCCTGTGAGAAAACCACTCACTTTGTTTCAGCTGAACAAATTACCGTTTCTCAGAGTGAACTCCTAAGCATCTTATAGATTTATCAAGATATCTTTTAACTAAATGCCATCAGGAATATAAGAATAAACTTCCATCCTGTTGAATCGGCGACATTTTCCAACACATCCAGTTCTGACCCAGTCTGTGGTTGAATTTGACACTCGAAGCTCCTTCTCTCAACTAACACGCTCTATTTGTGCCATTAATTCCCACAGTTGGGTGCTATTATGCTGTTTAAGAAAAGGGAATGATGAAATTAATGGAAAATGATGTGTTTTTTTTTTCATTTGTAAGTGAGGTTTATAGTTTTCACTTTTTTTCCCTCTCGACCGTCTTTCTTTTTGAAACAAAACAAACCTCAGGAAACGAGTTAAGACGCCTCATTGTTTACTTGTCTTAAAGTTCAGTTTCTGAAGGCCACAGCGTTAGCCTCATGGTCAAGTTTATGATATATTGTGCATGTTTTTGATCATGCCTGAAAGAAAACGCTGATGTACCGGCCTCAAAGATTTACATAGTACTTGTACTACTATGTAAATCAGACAGAGTAAAATATCTCACCAGTTGAGTTTGCTTTTGCAGTTTGCTTGTTTTTTTCACCCACATATGGGAAATTTCTCAATTCCCTGCAAAATCCAGCTCTCCGCACGACGAGCTGCTGCACGTCCGAGCAGCTCTGTCGTATCGTAATTGCAATCAGGAGTCAAAGTTTGTGGAATAAAGATCTTTTTCACACCTTTACATAACCACTCGGCCGTCGACACTTCTCGCGTGTTTACAAGCTTGAATTTTCATACTGAAAACCGTTCAGCCGTGAGCTTCCACTGGCTGCAGTTCAAAAGTACATCTTAAATCCATCCAGAGTTGGCAGCTTAAGACGACGTGACTCACCGAGAGGCTTTCATTGTTGCTGCTGCACAGGACAGCTTAGTTATCTTAAGGCATCAAACGGCTTACATCTGCAGATCACTCTGCTTTCCAAGGGAACACATTACCTTGATGGAAAAGCCGAAAAATGACCTTGCACTGCTGCCTCGTATGCCGCAGGTGTACAAAGCGAAGGCAGCAGGGATATTTGAAAAAAAAAAATATATATATATATATATTTATAAAAAGATGCACTTCAAAAGCCTCTAGCTTTTATTTTAGGTTGAATACAAGAGACTTTATACAGAAAAAGGAAATAAAACTCAATGCTAGGCAACAGGGTAAAAAAAGAAAAGAAATAAAAACAACCTCAATCAATAGCAGCGGTCTTCTGTCAACAACGAAAGGTGACGGTTTGATGACGACCACAAAGCAACCAGTCCGTCTACCAAGCTTGTCTGAGACACAAAACCAGACTTACATAATGTTTGTCGTCATCTTCGTTGTAGGCGAGCTTGACCACGCCATAGGAGCCCTACAAAACAACAACAAAAAACACTCATTAAATATGGACCCATACGAAGGGGACACGCAGCGATCGTTACTCGAACTCCACATTTCATTTAAACCCACCAGAGAGAGAGAGAGCTAACATTTCTAAAGCGTCGCTTCAGAGAGCAGACGGTAGAACCGGACTGACAGAATGTTTACAAGGCAGCGCAGCTCGTATTCAGAAACATTTTTATTCTTTGGCAGCTCAGAATGAGCTCGTCCCACACAGACAAACAGACAAACACACACACACACACACACACACGTCCTTTTCCGACATGTTTCCTCCTCAAAAAACATGTCAGCAGGTTTTTTTAGCAGGTTCAATGTTTTTGAAATTTGCTACAAATTACACATATGTATTTGAAAAGCAAACGATCTTCTGACACAGATATTTCAATCAAAAGCACCAAGAGAGATTTATAAATGTTTCGAGCATCTAAAAGAAAAAAACAACCACTTGCATTGGCGAGGTCACGCTTTAATTTGGTGTGACTATGAAGCGCGCTGAAAGAAAATTACATAAATGTCCCTGAAAAAGAAAATGCGCAATTTATGTTTATTAGAAATGACTTTGAGGAATTAATGCAAGCAGTGAGACACTAATAAAATAAATGTTGTGCTTTATTGTGATAGAGCAGGTGGTTGGCTGAAAAACTAATATCGGCATTAAAACCTATGTTGCGTCAATCAGCAGACAATACGTCTCCACTAAAAAAACTAACAAAAAACCAAAACACAACCCAGTGCATCATCTTCATCAGATTGTTATACAACAATCTCCAAGAATCTCCAATAACTATTTGAAGAAACTTGAATAATATGAATTAAAACCACATTTGATTCCCCTTTGGGATTATTAAAGATTTTTTTAAAATTGAAATGAATTGAAAAGGAGAAAATAAAAAAAAAAACTTGCAAGTTTATATTGCTAAAGTACAGCCCTAAAAGCCGGCACAAACTTTCTCTGCGTTTGAATTTCTTATGAAGTATGAAATATGAAATGTGTTCTTGCTGTGGCCACCGCAGCAAAAACTATTTTCTTTGTGCGACAGGCGTCGTTTTTACATGAGGCATCTGACAGATTGTCAGATGTAAAAACAAAACTTACGTTTTTGCAAACAATAAAGTTTGTATTATGAATCAAAGGCAACTCTAAACTGGTGGGGTTTAGCCTGGATTTAAAGGAACTCATTGTTTCTGAGTATTTAGCCGGTATAGATCTTGAAGTGACCGTGTTATTTTGGGTCTAAAGATTGAAGCTTCAAACGTTGGCTGTGACTCACACAACCCTGTTCAGTTTGTGGCTCGAAAGGTTTTCCAGTAAAACAAAAAAAAAAAATCTGCACATTCACTCTCTTAGGCAGAGATGTTATTGCACAAAATGATATTGAAACGGTCTGTTTTTAGCTGTATTTAAAGAACAGCCTTTGTGGCGGCGCTTTTTTTAAGGTTTGACATTTTTTGGAAGAGAGAGAGAGAGAAAAAAACAACCTCACCTTTCCAATCTCACTCTTCAGCTTATACTGGTTCAGCTGGATACAATCCTGGAAGGAGGACAAAAGATGGAGAGCTAATTATTAGTGTTATCATCCTCTGCAGAGTTATTATTTGCAGCATCTCAACCAAAAATAAATAAAATCGTTGGTACAGAGAAAGAAAAAAAAAAAAAAAAAACTAAAAAAAACACATTCCCCCTGGACATAGGCGTAAATCCTGGAGGGGTCTAGGTGGGGGCGTCCGGACACTGAACCTCATATCTAAGCAACATTTGAATCTTAGTTTGGCTTCTATGGGTCTCAACAGGTTGTTTACTGAGAAAAACACTTTTGTTATTCATCGCTACTTATAGTCATTTTTGATGGTGCTGCTTAAACACACACACAAAATTTAAACCACATTTTACTATAATTTTGCTCTTAAAAAAATGTCCCTGGTTATGGTCCCCCACCCCAATAATGAGATGGGATTTATGGCCTTGCCCCTGGGTGAGTGTGTCTCCACGTGCCCTGCAAGTCATTTACTTCTGAGACGCAGGAAACGATGCAGTCTGCAGTTTCTGTTTACTGTCTGCAAATCCATTAGAGTGCTACTGCTTAAATGGCTGATTTGCAGCTCCATAGCAACCGCCGCTCCAGCACGGAGTCAGCCAGGGCCGTGGCAGCACAGAGCCGAGCAGACCACAGCGGGACACAAGGGGAGGAGGAAGAGGGAGGAAGAAGAGGAGGCGAGAGGAAAGGTGAGGGTCTGTTTGGTGGTGGCAAGGGGGATATTTTGTCAAGAGGTTAGTGCTGAGAGTGCAGGACTGCACGGTAATAAGCAGAAAGTGAGCAGGGGATTTCTGACTGAAGGAGGAAGAGACGGAGCCGTAGAGAGACGGGGCTGAAAGCGGCTGTGTGGCTGCAGCTGGGGGCCGAGCCTGGAGTGTTGTTTGCAGGAGGAAGGGTGGAAGATGAGCGCAGAACTCAAAACACTCATGATTTGGACGTGGAGCCAGCAGGCGGCGTATAGCTCGTCTCGCAAAAATTTCAAATTTAGATGGGTTGCTAGTCTAGCTATTACCTTCTTATGCAAGTCTGCTCAATTCAAATTTCACTTCACAGCACAATCTGGGCTTTCTCCCATTCACTTGGATTCCTCTGGTGAACTGGGCCGATCAGCGAACAGACGGAGAAGTTGCAAACAATGACGCCGTTTTAGAAATATAGTTTGGTTGTAGTTTTAGCGATGGCAGCAGAGGAAGTGAACCAAGCTGGTCAGTCCCTGTTTGGCCACGTTTCCAAATATTGAGCCAACATTAACAGCCGTTCGGCTCAAGACTTCTCTGTTCGCAGAATGCGGCGCTGAACAAACAGAAATAATGACGTTGACAACCGTCAACATCCATGTAAATTTCCAGATCCAAAAATTATAATAAAAAAAAACACATTTAAGGACTTTCAACAATGGCGTCTTTTTATAGCTGCTTTCCAGGGCCTTTAACGTTTTTTTTTTTTTGTTTTTTTTAATTCACAAGATTTTTAAAGGACTCATGAAACCCTGTGTGCAGTTTGCTACGACTGTATGGCTGCGAATGTAGCACAGGAGTGAAAACAGAATAAATAAGCGCCTCATGACAGGATTGCTTTGATTGGTTGAGGAGAGATGAACAAACTGAGGACATAAAATGTAGGAGAAAAAGGTAGAGGCAGGTTGTAAACATGGTGCGTCACTTAATACTCAGACAAAGCATTCAGAAAGCCTTAAGTACATCTGACACATTAAAACGCTTCTCACACAAAAATCCAACTCTAGTGCTGGAATGTAAAGCTGGGGATTTTCCTCCATCTTTTGCTTTAATGTCAGACAATCTCTTTACTTTAACACTGAAGCCCCTCATGACTCACAGAAAGCAGAAGAGCTTTCCACATTTTGTCGCGTTTAAACAGCAATCCTCCATGTACTTCATTAGGATTTCATGCTATACACCAACACCAAGTAGAGCTTAATAGTGAATAGGAAGGAAAACGATATGTTGCTTTAACACCGTTTAAAAAATTAAAAGGACTTACTTTTTAGCCCGTCTCTATTTGTATGATTAATTTCAGTCTGCAGAGACTCAGACGGAGAAAACGGCGATTAAAAGGGTTTGTTGACATGAATGAATTAAAGTTGGCCTGGAGAGCCAAGAGCGTGGGGGTGGAGAAGGGGCGCAGGTGGGTTGAGCACGGATGGAGAGTTACATGGATGGAGGTCCTTATAAGCGGGAGCTTGATCAGCGATAGGTGAAGACGGGGTGTGGGCAGATGACACAGCGATTGGATGACGCAGGTGAGGCTGGAGAGTCTTCCATTTGAATTTACGCCAAGGCTTCATTTCTCTTTTTTTTTTTTTTTTTTTT